ATACATTCTGGCCTAGAGAATTTAGATAATATTTTTCCCAAATACTCATGAACAATTCCATCACTCACATCCAAGCCTGGGACTAGCCTCGTGAATGTATACGTTTCTTTGCTGAAGCTAAAGGAAAGTTTACATTGACAACTCTTAGCTTATGGTACTGAAAAATGACTATTGGTGATTTCAAGTACAGAGAAAATGTTGGCCTTGGCATCCAGATGTGACATGTTAAAATCAGGAACAATAGATTTGTTATTTGTGATGCATTTGTTCAATGTCCTGAAATCAACTGATAAAGAATATGAATTATCAGCTTTCTTGATAGACCAAATACAATTATTCACCACTGATTGTGCTTTCTTTAAAATTCCTTGCTGTAAAAACTCCTGTATAATGGAAGAAATTGGATTAATTGATTCTAATGGTAATTTGTATTGAGGTTGAGGCTTAGGGTCTTACCTTCAATGTCAACTTCAAAATCTTTAAGCAAACCTGCATCATTTTTGCTTTGACTCCAAAACTCTTTATGTGATCTAACCAATTGTTCCAATGCAAGATTGGTTCCTGTATGTGGCCATTTATGATCTGAAGACATGTCAGCAATTGCTGTACAAATACTTCCAACATTACTGTACATGGAAGAATCAATTAACGTTGATTTGGGCCTAGATGGATCTCTCCATAACGTTGAAGTACATAAATCAATTATCAAATTGAGTTTACTAATCACATCAATACCAAGAATGTTCTCTGCACCATGACAATACCAGATGTCAATGTCAGTTTTCAAAAATCCTGGAATCTCAAAAGTCACATTAGAAACTTTCCTAGCAACTGAACTACATTTTCCACTAAAATCAAGTAAATCGCATTTTGAAGAATTGACATTTACAGGTAATTTATGTTTATTTAAACTGAGTTCAGCTCCTGTATCTACTAAAAACTTTATAATCCTGCCATTCAATACACCCGGTACATATGGCCTTCCACTTTCATCCAATAAAATTGGAGCAACATATTCAAACGGTAAAGAAGAATCTCAATTTGATCCCGATTCTAATTTAGGCAATGGAAGTGGCAATAAACCATTCCTATTAATGACAACAGCACTGTTTACCATATTGTTTAAGCTGTTGTTGACACTCAGTGAACTGATCTCTTTGACTTCTGATGCAATAGACAACTCAGACAAACTATTGTTGGAACATGGAGGAGCAGATTGTTCAGAAATTGTATTTTCATTTTCTAATTCCAAAGTTTTTCTTTGGAAATCTAATTTATAATGAACACAATCTCTTTTCAAGTGACCAAATCATTTACAATAGAAACAAATGGTATTTCCTGTCTGCCCTGAGACTCTAGTTCTGCCTGTGACGTGTTCATCACCATAATTGGGTGTGGCCAAGCACATGGTCTCTCTCTGGTCTCCATTTTGAACAATTGCACTTTCCATCTTCTGATTGTTTAGTTTAATTTGTCTTCTAACTGTATCTATAACTTTGGCTGCTTGATCTAAAACATTTTTCCGGCAGCAATAATAAAAGATGCTGGATCTAGATATTTAAATTTTTTAACAAAAGCTTTTATCATAGCAGGAGTCTCATTTTCCAAATTAAATACCATTTTGTATACTTTGGAAAGTCTATTTTTAAAATCAAAAGGATCGTCATTGATCGTAGCTCTTAAGGAGTATAAGATTTCCAGAGAAGGAGTTTCCTCTCCAGTAGTGAATAGCAACAACTGACGCAATCGGTCTGATGCATTGCTATGAATTTCCACATCATCCTCATTAATATATGGCGTCTTGTTTAATCGACATGCCATAAAGCTAGGAAGCCATAATCTGAAGAGAAAATTTCTTTGTTCCTGATTTAAACAAAAATGATTACACAAAATTAAAAAAAAACTTCTGTGTTATGATAAGCATTCTCTTTCATATCATAGGCTGGCATATCCTTCATAATTTTCATGAGCTGTTCAAGGATTTTAAGATTAAGTTCTGCAGCTTTATCACTTAATTTTCTCTTAAGAATTGCTTCCTGATCTGCAGGATCACCTTCTATAGACTGAATGTCTGGTACAAAAGATTTTTGTCTCTCTTCCTTAGTATTTACACAAATTCTTTTTACATCATTCTGTAGTTCAGATAGCTGAATGTCTTTTGTTTAAATTGCTCTTTGCAGGTTATCTATATGCTCAGTCAAAGTCTGGCAATTAGCACATACACTTTTATGTTGCTCTGACTTCATTACACAAGCAGCATTGCTGTTTTGGATTTATGCACCATGTGTTCACCAGACTTTGTAAATAAAGCACAACCTTATTCACCAAGTACCTGCTGTCGTGCTGAGCCTCTTTCATGGTGTTCTGACCCATCCAGGTCGTCAAGCACAACCCGCTACTGAGCTAATCCCTCAGAATAGGAAAGCAGAAATTTACATCTCTTGAACCACTCAAGTATGTATTTCTATATCTCATATCTAACCGTTCCTCAGATGCGTCTGCATATTAATCTACCCATGGGTGGAATGTTATTTGTGCCTAGGAAAAGTTATGAGCCAAAATATGAACTATGAGAGATTTTGGTTCTAGTTTGGGTCTCCGTCCAGACAACCCCTCCTAAAATGAGGCATTGGTCCTTGGCTTCAGAGACACCCCCTGCTGGGGGACCACAAAATAGGCTGTCAGGCCTAAGAGTGTAGTTGAAGAATTCTCCCGTTTAACATCAGAACCAGCTTGGGAGATGGTGCCCTTTTGCTTTGAAACTTGATCTGCTTAACCCAAGGCTGATTGGCAAGTACTTTAACCCTTTAACCTCCTTTCTGCTACTCTTGCTGTACTATTGTTCTCAGTATATTTATATAGATATTGGTTACATCTTTTCTCTGTAAATATTGTTATTGCACCCTTTTGACCTTTTTAGTAGTAAAACTTTCTTTCTGAAGGTGTTGAACTTACGAATTCCTGCCTCTAAAAGAGCGCTACTGTGTTTGTTTAACCCTCTGTATAGCCTGTCTGTGGTGACAGTGCTATACAGACGATTACCTCAACCATCATAGTCTTATTGCTGATATTGCCGAGTTTCCTCTTTCTCTGTACAAAAAGGAGGTGGTGGCAGTGTGAAGGGTTAATTGCGTAATTAACCTGACTCAGTAACAATCACATTCAGTCTGCCGGTACATCGATTTGTGGTCCATTAGCTGGAAAATCATTGTGCAGGGTGCAGCTGGGCGTGGCATTGTTACGCATGTGACATCGCGTCTTCAGATTGGCTAGTCCTTCGGTCACGAGTTTGGTGAGAAGGTCAGGGGTCTGACGCGCGATCGTCACATAGATAACCCCTGTGACTGCAATAGGCATTGACAGCTATTCTTTTTTTGAGAAATCTGGGGTCTATTAGACTCTAGATATCTCCTCTGCCCTTACATCATCTAATCTCACCAAGATCAGTGTGACCAGATGCTTTCCCAATTTACAAATGGCGCTGTTTATTTCTTGAAGTGATGAAATGTTTGTAGCTTCCGATTTCTTAGACTAGAGAGATGATTGGGCCATTCCGGTCTCCACTCAGCTCTCTGGTCAGCTAGCAGAAACACCGGCTGCATTCTCAGGTTCCATCGATGGCACAGGACTGCCCGAGAAGGCCGTGGAAGGCAGCGGGGGAGGGGGGCATCTTTTCCCGCTGCTTGTAAAAGAAATCCTGCAGCTAATTATCCACTAGGATTGCTTTTACATGAAAGCCGATCGCCAGCTGAAAATAATGATATTAGGATGATGCCTGTGGCTGCTGGTATAACCACTGTCCAGTGATATACCAGTACATTGCTGGTTCTTGTTGGGTATACAGTATATGCTATGTTCTTATTCTTTTATGCAGCCTGTGGGCTGAATGAAGCAGGATACGGATGAAGAAATCTCTGCCAATTTTTTTTTTAAAATATATACTGAAGCATAGGGACCATCTACCTACTGGCCACCCCAGGCCCCCATGCTTCGGCATATATGCTCTTTTTTAACTGTAGATGAAAAATCTCATCCAGCAGCACTGCACACACTTATGTATATTCTGAGAGCAAGACCCCCCTTTTGTTATCAGAATAAACAGGTCAGTGCTGCAGCTGAATGGCACTCCTGTAAAGAAAACAGAAATGGTTAACAATAAAACAGTAACTCCATAAAACAACTTTTTTATTGATATATGTACCAAAAAATATTATAAAATATATATGTCGAAGCATAGGGGCCATCCACCCACTGGCCACCCCAGGCCCCATGCTTTGGCATATATGCTCTTTTTTAACTGCGGATGAAAAAATCACATCCAGCAGCTCTGCACACTCTTGCTTATGTATATTCTGAAAGCAAGACCCTGTTACTGTCAGAATAAACAGGTTGGTGTTGCAGCTGAATGGCATTCCTGCAAAGAAAACAGCAATGGTTAACAATAAAACAGTAAAATCGTAACAGTAGAACATCTTTTTTGGGGTGTCCTTTGGGTTGGGGTACCAGGAATGGCATCAGGAAAATGCCTCTCATGAAGCTGGCTAACATCATCTGGGTTGGGGCCATAGCACCTTCTGGATACAAAAGGGCCATGATGATCTCTGGAATTTTAGGAAGGATCCACTACGTCCAGTTGCTTTGTAAAACACAAAAGCATTATAAAGAACCAATTGAAATAAATAAACAGACACTTTTTTGCACCAGCATCTGGCTTTTCGGGAACCTAAGTACGGCTTCATCATTTGGTCGTTGAAGTCCACCCCTCCCAGGTTAAGGGTATAGTTGTGGACACAGAGGGGCTTCTCAACAACACCAGCTGTTTGGATGGTCATGTCTGCATGAATGGAAGACAGGATGAAAACATCCCATTTTTCCTTCCACTTCACTGTGAGCAATTCCTCATTTCTCAAGAAGGCTTTTTCCCCCTTTCTAAGACAGGTATTTACAAGCCGTTGGAGTAAGACCTGTCGATTAGGTCACACGGTGCCACATGTGCCAATTCCAAGATTGTACAAATGTCTAAATATTGACGTGCTTGAATAAAAATTGTCCACGTATAAGTGGTACCCCATATGAAAAAAGGATGACACCAAGTCCCAAACTATCTTGCCATTACTCCCCATGTAGTCTGAGCATCTGGGGGGCTCCAAGTGAATATTTTCCCTCGGAAATCCGAAACTTTTATGTATAGCCTGTTGCCTTCACACAGGTCTTATACATCTTGACCCCATATCTGGCATGCTTGCTGGGGAGAAATTGTTTGAATGCAACCTGGCCAGAAAAACTAATGAGGGACTCATCAACACAAATGTTTCGTTGGGGAGTATAGATATCTGCAAATTTTTGGTTAAGGTAGCCAAATTTTGTGGAGCTGGTCAAATTTAAGGTCACCCTGAGGACAACAGAGTGTTTTTGTCATTGAAATGCATAAAATGCATTATATTCTCATATGTATATCTTCCCATGGCAGCAAAGAACATGGGCATATGATGAATCGGGTCTGTGGACCAATACAACTGAAATGAATTTTTTTTAGTAATGCCCATAAATTCCGAAACCGTAATAGGTTTCCATGCAAATGATGTGGCAAGGTTTGAATTTGGGTTGGCGGTGATAAACTGTTGTGCATATAAATTGCTTTGATCCACAATCAATGCATACAGATCTTCTGTGAAAAACAGCTGCAAAAAATCAAGGGGATTATTTAAATTTGCTGTTTCCACCTGAATTCCGGGTTGGGCAGTGAATGGGGGAAGTACAGGTGCTGCAGAATTTGTGGGCTGCCAATCAGGATTTGCAAGCACATTTGGAAGGACACTAGGGGCTCTATGGGCCTGTGTTTGAATTCTCCACGTCACCAAGTGATACTGCAGTGCTGGTATGTGAAAGACCAGGATGTACTAGGCAGCTCGTGCTTGCTAGTTCACTAAAAGGTAGAGCGGCACTAGTACTGGCACTCTGCTGCATATGAGAATCATCATGTGATTTTAACATCTCAGCAACCTAGGAACAGGGTCGGGTACGCCTGACCTGAGCAGGGACCTCTTCTCCATCGTCTGAGCTATCTGTCAGGGTGCCGCTGTTGTGTACAGGTTCGTATTCTGAGGCAGATTCTGTCAGTGAGGCTTCCCCTTCGCTCTCATCTGACATGCTCAGAATCCTGTAGGTCTCTTCAGTAGAGTTCCTTTCGCTGGACATTTTGCCCACTAAATCTATAGGTACATATTGCGGCTTATGGGAAAAAGAGCACCTGGATGTCAGGGACTGCTTGAACTGCTACAAAAAAAATTAGGAAGAGAAAGGCAGCACCTTCTAAGTGCAGTATAAAAGCTTTTTAATGAATAAAACGTGTAATAATATAGGCCACTCACAAAGCATAAGTAGGTTTGCGCTTGTAAATTAGTAAACATCTGCTGTAGTGAAGGAGTGTGAAGCCTCTGGATGGATGGAAGTCACCGGCATCTGGCGGGGGTGCTGGTGGCTTCCAGCATGTCGTCCTAGTTTCGGGATTCCCTCGGTTGAGATGTCACTTCCGGTCACGTAATAGCGGGGGTTGGCGCGCGTTCTGAGCATGTGTGCTCCCTCATCAGGCCATAAGGACTTGGGGCATTATATATATATACTCTCAGCAAGAGGAGGAGTGGGGGGACTCCTCCTATAGGCAGACACAGCTTGAGGAGTAAACGACCCACGACAAGAGGGCTATTATTAAGCGCAGGTGTGGACAATTAAGGGATAAAAAAACGTGATAAAATGTAATAAAACTAAGTAATAGAAAAGATGTATATTGCAAGTGTTAGAACACGGAAATTACCTTTTAGCACTATGGCCATGTGTGAGAACTAATACATATGAAAACTACAATAAGTGTTCATAGTGTTATACGAAGTGCAAGAAATATTGAAAATATTATAAAACAACAGATAACACTGTTCAACAGGTAAAAAGTTTTGGGCATAAAATTAGCTAATCTTACATAATTTTGGGGTGCTGAAAACGAAAATGACCCTAAAAATGTTGATTGGCTCTAGTTTCCATGATATATTCACCCATCTAATGACGTAAGCCATTCAAAATTATGATGCAACTTCAGCTGCATATTGCGCAATTGATACTGGTGACCAATAGAAAATTGCATGTATACTGAGATGATGCAATATTAGCCTTTAATTGCATCACTTCACTGCATAAAAGCTGCAGTATCTGTAGCTGATTGTAGTTCGACAGCGTCTTTACATTTCGTTTTATGCTTATATAGGCTACTCAGTAATGCCACGAAGTTGTGTGAATAAAGCAGATAATTTCTGCTATATCTGCGGTGAAATAACTTTTATCTCACAAAAAAGGAGGATAACAGGAATGATTAAGAAAGCCTACAACTTGTATTTTGGCTGCAAGATAGGAGACCAGGACAAGAGCTGGGCACCACATATATGCTGCAATTCTTGTGGGACGGCACTGGAGCAATGGTTGAATGGAAAAAAGGCATCTATGCCTTTCGCTGTGCCAATGATTTGGAGAGAGCCAACAGATCATGTTAGTAATTGTTACTTTTGTATGGTGCCTCCAATTGTAAAAGGGCTAAATAAGAAGAAAAAGTTATCTGTGCACTATCCAAATATTCCATCGGCAATACGTCCAGTTCCTCATGGAGAGGGGCTACCAATTCCTAAAGCACCAGAATCCTTTGAGGTTGAGTCAAGTGAGGAAGAACCTGAAGCGTGTAGTCACGTGCAGTTGTAAGAGATAGCCCTTTCCTCGAATACAAGAGAAAAGCCAAGAGAAGCAAAATCGACACAAACTGAAGACAAAACTAGTGAGAATCCTAAGTATTAAAATGATTCAACTTAGCTTATGGCTATAATTTTTCTTGGTAATCCTATGCAATATATTAAATGCCATTTAGGCTTTGTTATGTAGTCAAATCACTTGCTTTATATTTGTGGAAAGACATCTATCTATATAATTATTGTGCATTATGTAGTCATTACGCCTAGAGATGAGCGAATCGAACTTGGCGAAGTGGAATTCGTTTCGAATATTAGGAAAAATTCGATTCGCACCGAATCCGAAAATTAGCAAACTTCGGATGCACGAATCGAATTTTCCCCGATCGGTCGATTTTCATCCCTTCTACAGCCGGCAAAAAGTGTCCCTGCAGAGAGCTCCGCTATTTCTGACAGTTCTCTGACAGTTCCTTCACATTTACAGCGGTTGAAACACATTTGTATCTATTTGTTTCCATTTAGGATACAGATTTTTTTATTCGGAAACAAATAGATACAATGTTTCAACCGCTGTAAATGTGAAGGAACTGTCAGAGAACTGTCAGAAATAGCGGAGCTCTCTGCAGATACACTTTTTGCTGGAATGGAATTCTTCTTATTTTCATCCTACTTCTTCTTCTTCTTCTTCTTCTTCTCCCTCTTCTTCTTCTTCATCCTCATCCTCTTCTTTTCATTCATCCTCATCTTCTCTTCTTCTTCATCCTCATCCTCTTCCTCCTCTTCTTCACTCCTTCTTCTTCATCCTCATCCTCTTCTTCTTCATCCTCTTCTTCATCATCTCATCTCTCTTCTTCTTCTTCATCATCCTCCTCTCCTCTTCTTCATCCTTCATCCTTTTTCAATCCCCTCCTCATTCTTCTTCTTCTTCATCCTCATCTTCTTCTTCTTCTTCTTCATCCTCATTCCTCCTCTTCTTCATCCGCATCCTCTTCCTTCCATCCATCATCCTCTTCTTCTTCTTCATCTCTTCTCATCCTCATCCTCTTCTTCTTCTTCTTCATCCTCATCCTCTTCTTCTTCTTCCTCATCCTCATCCTCTTCTTTTCTTATTCTTCTTCATCCTCATCCGCATCCTCTTCTTCTTCTTCATCCTCATCTTCTTCTTCATTCTTCATCCTCATCTTCTTCTTCTTCTTCATCATCATCCTCATCCTCTTCTTCTTCTTCATCCTCATCTTCTTCTTCTTCCTCATCCTCGCCCTTTCTTCTTCATCCTTTCTTCTTCATCATCCTTCATCCTCTTCTTCTTTCATCCTCATCTCTCTCATCATCATCCTCTTCTTCTTCTTCTTCATTCCTCATCCTCTTCTTCTTCTTCTTCTTTCTCATCCTCTTCTTCTTCTTCCTCATCCTCATTCTTCTTCTTCTCATCATCCTCATCCTCTTCTTCTTCCTCATTCTTCTTCTTCTTCTTCTTCATCCTCATCCTCTTCTTCTTCATCCTCATCTTCTTCTTCTTCATCCTCATCCTCTTCTTCTTCTTCTTCATCCTCATCCTCTTCTTCTTCTTCTTCTTCATCCTCATCCTCTTCTTCTTCTTCTTCCTCATCCTCTTCTTCTTCTTCTTCTTCTTCATCCTCATCTTCTTCTTCTCTAATTCTTCTTCATTCCTCTTCTTCTTCTTCTTCATCATCATCATCTTCTTCTTCATCTTCATCTTCTATCTTCTTCTTCTTCATTTTCTTCTTCTCATCTTCTTCATCTTCTTCTTCTTCTTCATCCTCATCCTCTTCTCCTTCTTCTTCTTCTTCATCCTCATCCTCTTCTTCTTCTTCTTCATCCTCATCCTCTTCTTCTTCTTCTTCTCTCATCTTCTTCTTCCTTCATCCTCTTCTTCTTCTTCTTTCATCCTTTTCTTCTTCTTCATTCCTTCCTCTTTCATCCTTCCTTTCTTCTTCTTCTCTTCCTTCTTCTGCATCCTCATCCTCTTCTTCTTCTTCTTCTTCTTCTTCATCTTCTTCTTCTTCTTCTCCTCATCCTCTTCTTCTTCTTCTTCCTCATCCTCATCCTCTTCTTCTTCGTCTTCTTCTTCTGCATCCTCATCCTTCTTTTCTTCCTCATCTTCCTCATCCTTTCTTCTTCTTCTTCTTCATTCTTCTTCTTTTCTTCTTCTTCTTCTTCATCATCATCTTCTTCTTCATCCTCATCTTCTTCTTCTTCATCCTCTTCTTCTTCTTCTTCTTCTTCTTCTTCTTCATCCTCATCCTCTTCTTCTTCATCATCATCCTCATCCTCTTCTTCTTCTTCTTCATCATCCTCATCCTCTTCTTCTTCTTCTTCTTCATCATCATCTTCTTCTTCTTCATCCTCATCCTCTTCTTCTTCTTCTTCTTCATCCTCATCCTCTTCTTCTTCTTCATCCTCATCCTCTTCTTCTTCTTCATCCTCATCTTCATCCTCATCCTCTTCTTCTTCTTCTTCTTCTTCTTCATCCTCATCCTCTTCTTCTTCTTCTTCATCCTCATCTTCTTCTTCATCCTCATCCTCTTCTTCATCCTCATCCTCTTCTTCTTCTTCATCCTCATCTTCTTCTTCAATTGAAGCTGCTTCTGCTCCGCCACTCTGCCATTGGACTCTTGATAGTCGTCTCCCCACACTGCTGCTGGGGGACTTTTTAACATAGGCCTCTGTATGGCCTTCAATTTAAGCTGCTTACGCTTCGCC